CCGCGGCGGCCTTCGCCGCCCGCTCCTCCGCTTCCTCCCGCTCGGCCTCGGCGGCCCAAGCTCCGATGCCGCCCCATGGTTTCGACATCCTTTTTTCTATTTCTTCACAACCAACAAACTCAGGATCTGAAAACCGCAGTGAAACTCCAAAAAAAAACCAAAATCTAAATAAAAACTCCCAATGGGAATTTAAACAAACAAAAGCCCCTTCTTTTTTGTTCGCTAAAAAAAAAAAAAGAGCTGGGGCTCCGTTACTGGAGCCGGAGCTCCGAGAACATGCGAATAAGAGGGGGAAAAAGAAAAAGAGTCACTGTTTAGAGAGAGAGAGAGAGAGAGAGAATGTTTGCGACTTTGCGTGCGTGTGTGTTTATGTAAGAGGAGGGATAGTTTTATATGCTTTTCCTCTGTTTTACGCGCGGTGGGGACGAGTGGGAGACACGGCTGTTATCTTTGTAAGAAGCTGGGGAACTGTTAATGGACTTTGGGCTCCCTTGTGGTGCGTGGGATAATTTGGGCCGTCTTTATGATTCCAAAGCCTGGCCCACCTTCTCATTGCGGAATTCTCGCCTTTTTGACTTCCATGCATTGGATGGTTTGGATGCTCTTTGAACATGTTGCCTCTTTTCCATCATTAAATTAAATATTTAATATTAATATTCTCATCATTCCATGTCAACCATACAAAAGCTATTTTCTTCGCTAAACAAAAATGCGTCGTGATAAAATCAAAAAATGCTAAATGAGAATATCTTTTATTTTAAAAAATATTTTTAGAAAAAAGTCAAATGAAAACTTAAAAAAGAAAATGGTCGTAAACCCAACATATAGAATTTGTGTTCTTTTAGGCGTGACGTGAGGACAAAATATTGAAAAAGGTAGTACACCAGAGAATAGGAACCTAATTATATCTCCAGAGATAAATATCTTGGAAGGATTTATTATTCCATGCATGCTGATTGTTGGCAACAACAGTCAAGCAACTTTTGAAAGTAATAAATAAAAGTAGCTTTGATTAGTTTTGTTTTGTTTTTTTTTTTTTTTTTTCGAATGATGGCTCAATCAAAGCTTTTTTTTTTTTTGTTTTTTTGTTTTTTCATAGTGGGTGCGTGGGGAGTTGTTTTATGAAGCAAATGTCGTTTCCACATAGATATATTTTGGACGGGTCTGAGAGATTCTCATTGTCAGAAAATACTAAATTCGATCAAAAAAGGCAAGCATCATAGTTAAGTTAATTGGATCCTACACATGCATACTTATTACTTGGCAGAGATGTCCAAATGGCGTGAAAGAGGGATTGATGTTTTCATTGGCATGGAAAAGGGCAAGCTTGACTTTTTTGGTGCCATTATTGCTTAGTTTCTAAGGAAAGAACACATCCAAGGATGACCCTATTAGGGCTGATTATAAGCATTTTACCAAAGCAGCTAGTGGTTACTTGGCTATAAGTGTCTCATCCTGAAACTTGATGAATCAATCGGGAAAAGAAGAGGAAAAAAAAAATCAATTCTTTCTTTTTGGAGCTTTCTGCGTTAGGTATCCCTTTCAATAGTGTTTGTTTTCATTAAATCTGAAGAATATTTATGTGTACATGTGTGCAAAATAAGTAGAATTTAGAATACATTTGGTAAATAGATTCAAATGGTTTAAACTAAGGTCTCGTTCATTTTACCGATTTGAGTTTTCAGTTACAGGTTTTTACAGTAAAAAACTCTCAGAAAATGTCACATCTAACTTTTTCTGCTACAGTGAAAAGCTCTCAGAAAATGTTACATCTCAGCTCGAATTGAAAACTCGAATTCGCGAAGTAAACGAGCCCTAAAAGTTCGAATGAACCGAACCAATATTTGATAAATATTTTTAGGCACGTTTGTTTTATGCGTTTAAACTCGTGAATTTGATTCTACTATAGTATTTTTCTCTCACAGAAAATTTAAATTTTAAATATTAAAATTAAGAATCACTCGTTTAAACACGCATAAACCAAACGGAGACTTGATTCAAACTATTGATTTGATGTTTTGAACCAAAAAAACATAAGAAAACAATTTAACCCCTTCTTATTTTCAATTTTTTGAACCAAATGCTCAAACACACGTGTTTCAAAGTTATCATTTCAAACCACAAAAATTCAAACTATCAATTTCAAATCTCTTTACGGAACGGGTCCTTAATATAGATTATATCCTTCAAAACAAAACTCTGCCGGTATTTTTTTTTCTTTTTTTCTCTTGCTTAAGGACAATAGCTTTTAGACATAATGTAGTCTTTGACTCTTTGCAATAGCAACATTGTCGTCCACTAAAAACTACCAGGACTATGGTCGGAGAGAGATGGAGAGAGTTTAAGGGGTTATTTTTTTACAATAAAATTCAGAAAAAATTTAAATTTGAGTTATAATTTTATTTAAGTTTATATTTTTTTGTAAAATTTGAGTTTGAACTCGAGTTTAAACTCGAATTTGAACTCGAGTTTGAAGCTAAACTCGAGTTCAAGATTTCCCTTCAACTCGAGTTCATAAACTCGAACTCAAGTTACTAAACAATATTTTTGTTATTCTTAAAAACGTCATAACTTTTTCATTTTAATTCTGATTGAGATGATTTTTTTTTCTATACATTTACAACGAAAAGACGAATAAAACCTCACCCATATACCCTATTAAAATTTTTCATCACCATTGAGTTTTTATTAAAATACTATCTAAATACAAATTTAAGTTTTGACCCACCCAAATACAAACTCAAAAAAAATCTCAATTCAAATCATAACTCAAATGTGCACATCCAAACACAAACTCAAGTTATAACTTCAACTCAAGTTATAACTCAAACTCAACTTAAGATCATAACTCAAGTCACCCTAACTCAAAAATGTAAAAGAACAACCCCTAAATCTCTTGTTTGGTTGGAAGGAGAGGTGGAGGGGGATTCAATCCACCCGAGCCTATCATTTTGCATTCATCCACTTATGGAGGGATCCATACAATCCACCCACTAAAAATTTAAAAAGACCATTTTATCCTTCAAAAATTTTATTTGAATTTGATAAAAAGGACAATCTAGTAATTAAACATAGATTCATTCATTAATTCTTTTAACTCTCTCTCCATCCTACCAAACAACATAAAAGATTATTATAATCCTCTCCATCCATCACATTCCTCAACCCTCCAACTCTCTCCATCATTCCTCCTCTTCGTCTCTCTTACCAAATGAAGCCTAAGGGTATGTTTAATAAGAATGAGGGCGAGATGGAAGGAAGGAGAGTAGTGGAGAAAGAGGGTGAACTCTTGTTTAGTAAGAAGGAGAAGAGGAGGAAGATGAGAGACGGAGAGAGACTCTCCTTCTGGGCCCACTATTTTGGATCCTTCCATTGATGGAAGGACCCAACCTATCTACTCAAACTTAAAAGAAAATGTATTTTTTACCCTTCAAAAATAATTCTGAACAAATAATAAATAGATAATATAATAATTAAATAAAAAACTACCATTTATTCTTTTAACTCTCATCTCTCCTACAGTCCTACTAAACAATATAAATAATTATTATAATCCTCACCATCTTTCACATTCTCTATCCCTCCAACCCTTTTCTTCCTTCCTCTTATCCAGCCCTCTACCGAACGAAGTCTAAAGTGGGCAAAATGGAGTTCACCAAACCACTTAAGGACCCGTTTAGTTCGCTGATTCAAGTTTTTAATTCGAGTTGAGATGTGACTTTATGTGAGGGCTTTTTACTGTAGCAAAAAGTTAGATGTGACTGTTTCTGAAAGCTTTTTACTGTAGCAAAACTCGAATTCTAAATTTGAATCGGTGAAGTGAATGGGACCTTAGATTTTTTAACGTACCAAATTTTTATCTTAACTAGCTCTTTATGTTTTATGTTAAGGCCTACATGGGGGTCAGAGTTTTTATCTTAACTAGCTCTTTATGTTAAGGCCTACATGGGGGTCAAAGACTCATAGTCAGTCTCCAAAAGAGACGTCCTAGTGGTAAAGTGACCGTAATCTAATATTAGGACGGTGTGTTCAAATCATTTCCTAAAAATAAATAAATAAATAAGAGGGAAAGGAGGTAATAACAAAGAGTCATATGCCTGCTTTAGATCGCACTCCAGCCACAATTGTGTCACCAATGTATATGAACTCATTTAGTTTGATGATTCGAGTTTTTAATTCGAGTTAAGATGTGACTTTATCTGAGAGCTTTTTACTGTAAAAAAAAAGGTTAAATGTGACTATTTCTGAAAGTTTTTTTTTTACTGTAACAAAACTCGAATTCTAAACTCAAATCGGTGAAATAAACGGGACCTTTATATCAGTAAACAGCCCACTTGACACTTGTAACCTCAGAAAGTCAACTACAACTTAAAAACTGATCACATGTTAAAGAGCTCCACAAGAATCTTGAACATCACCCTTTGGCCATGCTATGAAAAAAAAAAACACAAGAGGACAAACTATCTGCCTTGCTTTTCTCTTTCAAGTCTCTAATGGCTAATCAAGTCCGCTTTTTACTTTAAGAAATCATGTTCATAGCTACCCTTTTAACCTTCTTTCTATAAATTAGCTCTCTAGGTTTCCTTGTTAATTCAACTTGCTTACTTATGGAAGTATATAGGTTGTTGGGCAATATTTTTTAGTTCCTCAATGGAATTTCGTTTCCTCATCAGTTTCCTGATCACGTGCTTTGCTCAAACTTGTTATGGAGGAGATGTTCTCTTCTCCTCACTACCGAGAACTCTAGTGGTCAGCGCTTCCCCTTAACAAGGACAAGGTATGAACAAAAGGCAACTCTATTGCTTTTTTTCCCCCTTTTCTTGGCCAGAAACTAATTGTGATGGGAATTGTTCTTTTTTAAATTTGAATTGACACAATAAATAACTACTTTGACTAACACTCGTAAAAGACCACACCCTTCTATCAAGAAATGGAAGAAATAGTGAATTCTTTGGCACAAGCAATCATAAACCGTCGTATTTTTATTAAATTTCGTAATTTTATGTACTTTTTTTTTTCGTTTTGATGTGATTTTAACGTTTAAAAACATGCAGTATCGAATAGACATCCCACCACTTTAGTTAAGTCAAGGAACATACCTACCGTGGCCACTAGACTCTCGTTGGGTTGTTTGATATTCGAGCTAAAAAGCCTATTCAAATCTGATTTGAAAATACACTGCCTTTGGAATCTCTGTCTTTTCTGCAGTTCTCATGGCAGGAGAGGACAGAATCACAGTGAAGTGGGGTTTGGACGAGACTCTTCTTCATGCATCAGAAGCGGACAAAGAGCAGAAGAATGTGAAAATGAGTTTGGAGAGGACAGAATCACAGTGAAGTTTGGACGAGACTCTTCTTCATGCATCAGAAGCGGACAAAGAGCACAAGAATGTGAAAGTGAGTTTGTGCTACGCTCCAATAAGCCAGTTAGGCCGTGGATGGAGGAAAACGGTGGACAAGCTGCAGAGGGACAAGACCCTGCCAATTCACCATAGCAAACACACCCTATGACGCATCTAAAACAAGTCAGCAGAGCTTGGATTGGACAATTGGGAAAGACGTGCCCACGGCTACTTTCTTTGTAAGAGCCTATGCTTATAACTCTGCCGGTGAAGAAGTGGCCTTTGGTCAGACCACGGATGCTGAAAAGACAAGCAACTTGTTTGAGATCCAAGGATTTAGTGGGCGTCAGGTATCCCTTGAGATTGCTTCAATTTGTTTCTCTGCTTTCTCTCTCGTGTCTTTGTTTGGATTTTTTCTTGTGGAGAAAAGGAGGAAATAACAGGCTCTCAAATTGAGATGATGGGACTTACCTAGTTACCCTCTTCTATATATATATATATATATATATATAAGAACACCCCATGTCCAAAGACTTGGCACTTGCTCTCATCACTGTTTAGAAGCATACAACACATCACACTTCTACTTAAAATCATGATTTGTTTCAAATAAATTTGAGAATTTTAGCTCAAAACTTTTTCTGAGCTCATTACCAGTAAGCACCAGATGGGAAAAAAGAACCTCTTTTTTTCAGAATGGAAAGGGAAAGAAAAATGTGTAATTTTTTTTCGTTCCCCTTTGTTGCTGAGCTCAATAGCGAAGCCAAATTCAAGGTCCTCTACATGTCGTATACCATAAAACTATAGAAAACTTGCCATCTTGTATGTAATATGTATGGGACAAGAGAGAAAGGAAATTAAAAAATTTACATTCTTCATTGTGTCTCTCTCATCCGTAATGCACTAAAAAACGAAAGTTGCACAAGTGCAAGCTTGGCGAAATGATTAGCTTTTTAGCAGTAGCTAATCCATACAGAGATGAAGGAAAACCTTTCTTCCTTCTAAAGACTGTACCTTTAGATAGCCCCGACAATGAAGAGACAAAAAAAAACAAAACTTGACAACAACAACAAAAAGGCAAGTAAATCCAAATATCTATAATCTCTAATTTAAGGTTAATGGCCATATAAAAAATCAAAGCTTTTAAGTACAAATTAACACATGCAATTTGCAAACTCTTCTCATGTTAATCCTTTTGACTTAATTTTAAGCCAATAAATAAACAAAATCCATATCACAAAGACAAAGAAGCAGAGAGAGAAAGCAAACAATCCTCAGACAAAGATGGATTTCGTCTTCTCTCTTTCGTCTCCTCAAGCAAAGCTCTGGTCTTTCTCTGCATACTGATCAGCACGTTGTGCCACGTGTTGGCTCTGGAGTGACCCTTCCCGTGGAGCCCAATATTCACGTGCTCGAAATCCTCCGCCGTCAGCTCCAAAACCTCCTCCGCCTCGGCGCCGTCGAGCAGCCAAATCAGGCACGAGCAAAACCCCTTCGAGATCTCCGAGTCGCTGTCGGCTCGGAACCTCATTCTCCCGCTCGCCTCCTCCATCTCCGCCTCCACCCACACCTGAGTAGCGCACCCCGCGACTCGGTTCTCCGGCGACCTCGCCGACTCATCGCACGGCGGGAGCCGCGCCGCGTAGTCCAGCAACCGCTTCACCCGCTCCATCGGCTCCGCCAGCGACTTGAACTCCGACACCAAAAGCTGCAGCCTGTCGGCGACGGCGAACTCGCCGGTCGCCGATGAGCTGGGGTTCCGACGGCCGTTTAACTCCGACGAGTACTTCGCTCCAAAATCACGGATTCGCACGCATTTCAAGGACTTCCTACTCTCGTTTTCTCTCTTGAATTTCAGTGCGGTGCATCCGGAGCTAGAATCAATACGTTTCATCCACAATCTCGAGCAAGGGCGAGATGTATGGCTAGGAGGATATGCCGTTCGTATGATTGAAGTGTTCATGGGTTGTTTGGATGGAAAGAAAGGAAAATGGAAAAGGAAAGAAAATGAAAAAGAATCGCTGCAATAGCAAGGAGTTCGTCAAGATTGAGAAGGTAAATTGGAGATCCAAATTCAGCGTATATACTTTGTGGATTCTGGCATTTTTATAGGAGGAACCGGAAGAGAAGAAAAAGGAAAAGTCGTAAAATTGCCACGAGACATGGGCGCCAACCGAATATACATAGGCCTCATTTTCGATTCAAATTCGTATAGCCGGTTTTGTTCGTGAATTAAAATTATAATATTAAAATTATTTTTAATTTATGTGTATTTTTTATAAGAAAAAATAATATAACGAATTATGAATTATGATTTAAATCAGAGAATAAATCATCCAATTAAACGGACTCAATTTAAGTTAGATGTAATTTTATGTTAAAATTTTTAATTATAATAAAAAAATTAAACATCATTTTTAATAAGAGTTTTTAGTTGTAATAAATTTACAAATCAATCAAATAAACAGAATTTTATTTACGGAATTATAATAGTCAGAAGCAGACAATTTCATCCCAAAACGGCAAAATTGTGACTTTCATTTTCAAGTTTCCACCCATAATTTTTCATAATTATATAACTCACTTGTTGATTTGTAAATTTTTTTTTAGCATAAAATTTAAAAACGGTATTTTATTTTCGTTAATCATAACAAAATAAATTTTGTATCAGTAAATCTCACATAAATCTCAATATCAATAAAATAAAAATTTGTCACAATCAATTAATTAATAAAAACATGGATTCTATTAATTAAAGATTATGTAAGATTCCTTTGTATATTTTATTTACAAGCGACATGCACGTAACCTCGCAAAAGAAGAGAAAATCGAGTTTAAAAAAAAAAAAAAACACTATAATCGTAATCTTTCTAAATTCAAATGACCTTCGCAATGACGTATTTTCTAATTGATATAATTGTAAATATATTATAGGTGTTGACCACTATTTGCGTGTAGCGAAAAAACTTTCAGATACAATCTTTAGAAACTACAAAATGGTCAAGAGAACCCACAACCAAATCAAAATCTGAGTTGACGAAACTTACAAGTTACAACCATTAATGTGTACTTTTTCCAATGTATTTCCTTATACCAGAAGAGAAAAACATATAGAACTGCCAGTATATTTCAAGCGAAAAATTAAAAGTATATTGAGGATGAAAATAAAAAATAAATAAATAAATGAGCTTACTTTCGCATATGATGTTGGGAGAAGTGCATCAAATTATAGGATATAGTTCCTATTTACTACGGGCTCGTTTAATTCACTGATTCGAATTAAAATGTGATTTTATGTGAAAATTTTTTACTGTAATAAAAAAATTAAATATAATTATTTCTGATAATTTTTTACTATAATAAAACTTAAATTCTAAATTTGTGTACGTTTCTAATTTTTAATCTTCATACTTCAATTGTTTCCCTTTAAAAAAAAAAAAAAAAAAGAAACTAGGACTAGTCAACAATTCTATAGTAGTTTGTACTGTTTTGTTGTTTCTTATTGGACAAAGCTACCCATGGGGATTGGCAGTGGCATTGAAACCCTTCATCACATTGGGTCAATTTTGAAATAATTGGGCAAAGAAAGTTTCAGTCAATCCCAAAGAGATAAGATTGGAGAAAAGAACTTGCTTGTCGGAAGTCAGAACTCCCTTTCCAACTTGTTTCATGTGTTATACACTTGCATGGCAAGCTTTGGACAATACAAGAGAACAAAAGTGGGGGAGCTTTTGCGGTTGGACAAAAAAAATATCAGTACTTTTTTTATTTTTAATCGTTAAATTTATATTAAAAATTATTTATTCTGTATATTTTTTAATTTAATATAATTTTTATCTGATTTAATTAAGGGTGTTCATGGGTTAGGTTGGTGCGGGATATAATTTTTTTTCCCCGCCCCAAAGGGTGCGGGTTGCACATATTTGACCCCAACGATGTTAGAAAAATTTCACAACCCAACGATGTTCGGGTTGGGTTGGGGCGGTGCGGGGTGGGTTGGGTGGTTGGTTTCAACATTCAAAAAATGAAAGACTTAAAGTTCAATATAATATTCAAACTTCATCATTAAATAGAAATAGCATCCATCTTTATCAGTCCATCTAACATCAAACATGAAGCAAAGTAGTCCATCCAACATCAAATACTTATAAATTAGTCTTAACATAAAACAAATAGCTTAAGCAAAACAAACATAGAGGCTTAAATCTTAATTCAAATCCATCCAAAGCAAGCATTGCAACATCAACCATCTTTATCAATCCACACTCATAGGCTCCTCAATGGTTGTAGTAGGACTTGAAGTTGAGTTATCTACAAGAGAAATGAAAATAGCTTAAGTAATAATTTGGATAGTTTAGAGTTCATATAATAAAATAGATTAAGATAGATACAAATTATTGTCTTACCTAGGTTTTCATAAGTCTCCAAGTCATCCAAATAGTCTCTTACTTGTATACAATCATGTGTAGATTTCAACCAATTTTGAGTACAAACAAGAGCCTCCACCATCTTAGGATTCAAAGAACTCCTAAATGGATCCAGAATGCGACCACTAGTACTGAAAGCTGACTCGGAAGCTACTGTGGAGACTTGGACAGCTAGTACATCACGGGCAATTTGAGCCAAAACCTTGAACTTCTTGCTATTATCTTTCCACCACTCCAAAATATCAAAATCAGGGGTTAAAGGATTCACATTCTCTTCAGCTAGATACCTCTCAAGGTCATTTTTCTCCCTATTATCCCCTCGTTGCTTCAAGAATTAACTTAGCAACTCATTGACCGGTTGGACAGGTGATTGATTTGGAGTATTTGCAGCCATTTCTTGTTTTTTTTCATTATCTACCCCGTCACCATAAAAAGACATCATTTTAGCCAGTGTTTCATCCATTTTGTTGCACAATTTAGAGGCTGTGGCAACATCATAAATCATGCTAAAACAGTACCAAAGATATGTCTTCTTATATCGAGGATCAAGTACAACAGCAATAAACAACATATAGTTAATATTTTCCCCATTGCCCCAATATTTTTCAAACTTCCTTCTCATCCCAAAAGCCAGAGTTGACAACAAGCAATCACACTACAACAATGAAGGCCATTTGCGACGACATTTTTTGCAATGACATGTCATCGCAATTACTCCCCGTTAAATAAAATAACCATGTCGTCGCTAATAACTCAAATGTCGTCGCAAATAATTTTGGAGCGCAAATTTCAATGGCGCGGATTTTTACTGCCAAGGTAATCCATTTTTGCGACGACAAGTTGTCACAAATAATAAGATATTTGCGACGATAAATGTCATCGCAAATAATTTCATGTTATTTGTGACGACATTTTCTCTGTCATCGTAAATAATCTTTTTAAGATTTCACCAAAAACTAAATGCGAAAAAAATGATTATTTGTGACGACTCAAATATTATTTGTGACGACATTATGTCGTCCCAACTAATTGCCAGCTGTGACGTATTTGTGATGACATTTTAAATTTATTTACGACGACATTGTCATCGCAAATAAGTCTAATCTAATATATCCTATCTTCTTCTTCTTCATTTTTCCCTGATGTTTTCTCTCTCTCTCTTACAAAATCTCTCTCTCTCTGCCTCCTCTTCCTGTCACCGCCGTCGCCGGCCCTCTTCTCTTTCTCTTCCCTTCTCTCTCTCTCTCTCTCTCTCTCTCTCTCTTCCAATCCCTTCTCTCTTCTTCCCCTTTCCGGCCACCGCCGCCGCTCCCGCCGCCCTACCCCCCGCCAGGACTTCGAAGAGGCAACATACTCTGACAGGTTTGGGTTTTCTCCTTTTTTTTTCTTTTTGTAAATTTTGTTTGGTTGCCGAGAAAATGGAAGAAGAAAATGGAAAATGGAAGAATCATGCACGTCCGAGAAAATTTTATTGCTCTTGTTTTGCTTATCGAGTATGTGCTTGGATTGAGTTACGAGAATTTTGATGCTCTAGGAGTTGAATATTGGGGATTTTGTTTGGGAATTTTGTTCGAGTTTAGTCATTTTTTATGGTTCTGAGAATGTGAAATTTAAACTTGCATTGATTAATCAAGAATTGTGTCTATATGTTACTCTAGATGTAAATAAAATGTTAATTTCGGTGCTTGAAAATTATGTTCGATGTTTCAATTTGATGTAGGCGTTTGATTTTTCGCCTTCATCGTTGTTTGCCCGGTTCCTCCGACGTAATCCCACTATTTTCAGCCCCCGTTTAATAGGTTTGAACTTTGTAAGTTTTTTATACTTATTGTACTTTTAGTTTAAAATTGTTGTAGTTTTTGGTTATATGAATTCGGGATAATGATTTTGATATTTGAACTATGATTTTCTTATATTGTTGAAATTTAGTATATGTTTGTGATTCTTGTTCTAGGCCGCACATCTTGCAGCTATAGTGTGCCGAAATCTTTTAAAGTTATTTTTCTGTAGGTTTAGATTTTTGGATCATAAGAAAAATAAGTCGTTATGCTGCCGAAATTTAGTTAGAAAACGAGAATTTTAATAAGTTCATTAACAAAATTTAATGAATAAAATTTAATTGTGTTAATAAAGAGTAAAATTAAAATTAATTAAACACATTAATAAATTGTTATGTCTGTTGTTGTGTATAGTTGAAATGTTGATTGACAAAAGTTGGATTTATTTGAGGAACCGATTGTCGGATCAATATTGGAATGGGTTATCTGCTTTTATTGAGGTCGCCAAAAATTATGAAACTTCAAGTGGCCATATCAGCTGTCCTTGTGTAAAATGTAGAAACCATGAAATGCATCTAGTAGAAACTGTGAGAGCGCATATACATCGATTTAGTTTTAATCCATTGTATAGTACATGGATTCCCCATGGTGAAGTAGAAGCGGTTTCAGGTGTCGACCCAATAGTTAATCAACCAGTAGACGAGATGTTTGTAGTATTACAAGATATTGTTGGGATTAATGATGACCATGAAATGTTGGATGAGACGCATGTGGATCTAGAAGATGTACAATACGCTGAATTTAAGGATCTACTTTCTGAGCTCCAGGTGGGATTGTATCCGGGCTGCACTAAGTATTCAGCTTTAACGAGCATGGGGTTTTAGAGCAAGTTCTTGGCATGCGTAGAGGACATAAGATAGGAGTGGGTCTGACGCTCTCCCAAAAGCATTACTCCGGGGCTTCTTCTTCATCTGTTGGTTCATACTCGGACACAACATCATCGGCTCAACCTGACCCACGTATGAGTCATTATTTATAGAAATCGTACCGGCAATAAGTTAAGATTTATGAGAATCAGGTGAAAGTGTTAGAGTTGATGGCTAAATTGCAGCCCAACATCCAATTACCTACGATTGATCGTCCAGAACCAGTTGACCTAGACGCTCCTCTGCCTCCTTCAGATGATGACGGTCCTGATGATGATTCAGATGCTGACGATGCTGCAAACTTAGACGATTAGTTCTGTTATATGTACTTTTTTATTTTTCACTTTATTTAGACTTTTATATTTTTTTGAACATTATATATGCACTTCATGTAGTATTCATAATATATTTTATAAATTTATTTAGATTTACTGTTT